ATACATTTTGTTACTTCACCCAAGTAAAACTAATAATCTGGGAAATTGAATGCGGAGAATGAAATCCACCATGCAAGTGTATAGTTTTGTGCTACAAGGTAATCTTTAATTGATTATTTTTATAATGACTCGTATTTAATTCACAGTATTTAACTCACAGTTGTGAGTAGTGGTGCGGGATAATGGATATTGTATTGATTTGAACTGACTATCCTTCAGACTTCACCTTCATGCACAATCCTCAGTTCATCGATTCAACGATACACTCAGATGCATTAGACTCGAGTTTCACTCTAACTAGAGCTGATCAGTGGTGCATATCCACCGTCCTGTCGGGAATTTGAACTCCGGCCCCCTCGCATAGAATGAGTGTGCGTTACCACAGTACCAAACAGCTCTTACCATGACTAAATCAAATTGCCCATTCATGTTTGTCCATCTGATAAAACAAATCTCTGCTTGTATCAAGTAGATTTTGATTAATCCATAACACCGGTTTCTCATTGCGCATTCAAATGTCTTATCGTGCTGCTGTCCGATACATATTGTCACGGTTATTGGATCACCGCAATGACTCAGTTGAACGGTTTCTGAAAACTCTTCTTCAATTTGATATTCCTTCAAAAACATTAGTGGCACCTCTGAGGATAGGAATATACATTGATAGGAGTCCATCAAGCTCTCGGGGCGATTACTTGCCGTCTTCTAAGATCGTCAAAGAACACGCGCAAAGGACACTTCGCTGTTATTCATGATGGTTAATTGGCTAAATTTTGGGATTTGTCCAAAGTACTATCAGTCGCAATGAGGGCAGTAATCACGCGTAATGTGCACTGTTTCGAGATGTAAACAATAATAAAATTATTCCCTCCAAGAAATTCGTAGATGGAGTTAATTGAGTGCTAGTCTCATTTTAACAAATGCACAATTGGGGATTGTCAAAACCGCGGCCTACTCGTGCTTGATTTCTGGATATCATATTTGAAAGTTCCGTTACTGTCTGCAGATTATACAAGTGCAAATCAACTTTGATTAATATATTGCTAGCTTTATTGAAACAGAATGCTGGATTGTTACTTGTCGTGAACTTGAATCGCATTGTGAGTACTGTACGAATGTTACGTCCATATAATTCGACATATCTTTAGAACTCCTTGGTACAAATGCAGTGATAGAAGTCAAAGGAGACCGTTTTTCTTTCTGTACACAAGCATATAAATGTTTATGTGCACACCATTAAATTTTATTTCATCTCGCCGTTATCCCCTCAACGACTGTTGTTCGCCAATAAACTATTTCCCATCTATTTTGTTTTACTCAAAGGTCCTCCTGTGGTGACTGGATCAAGTCCAATCTACGCTGCTTTGGGTACGAGCGTAGCAATCGAATGTGATATTCGGGGTTTGCCCAAACCAACCAAGGAAAATATACGTTGGCGATTTCAGTTCGTCTCGGGTCCACCGAACGCCGAGGGCAAATATTTATGGCACAACCACCACACACGTGATACGTCCGCGGAACCGACCGGATCCGAACAACCCAACCGGATCCGAAACTCGCGGCGAACACCACGCGATGAGGTGGACGACGATCCATCCGGGAATCCACACATGCACTGGCACGTGCATCAAACGGATGTCCCATTGGGATGGATCAGTCACTTGCGAATCGAAACGGTCGAGGCGAAACATTATGGTCTGTACAACTGTTCCGCGACAAGCCCGTTTGGAACCGGATGGCAGTTGTTTGTCCTGAATCAAGCCATCGGTGACGGTTATGCGGCAGGTATGTGTTGATCAAATTGATATTCCGACTTCCGGTGACCTGATTCGGAAACTGTCGCCATATTTTTCGGTAGAATGTGACGATTAGCGACGGTTGGCGATGAACAGTTGATTGTTCATTATCGGTAAGGATAACGACTGCTATGTTCGTCGGATTTGACACACAGTTACTTGTGAGTAGTGTGTGTGTTATGGTCACTCTTTTCGAGGTAGAAACCACCAATGGGTTAACTCAATTTTGTGAAAGGAAGAATTGTTAACAGATTTCCAAATTTCATGCAGAGAATAATTACACGATAGTGGTTAATGGGAACCCGTTTCCCATATCATTCGTAAATTGATTTATCAAATAGATTTGATGTCCATGATTCTCCATTTCAACCGATTTCCCGCTATTGCTTTCCTGGGAAGTGGTAATTTTGAGCTTGGATTTAAATGAATTATCTAAAAATAATTTTTATGTCGAGATTGTGAAAAGTTCAGTAGCCTTGGTGAGACGCTGCCTACGCTTTTGTACAGCGCACGCTCTACCAGATGAGCTGCAAGAAAAACGCTGGCACAACTGTTGAGCCTTCGTGTCCTCAATCGGTTTTCACTGCTGCGGCTACGGTCAGCTATTCAACATCGGACTTTCAATCAAGTGGAGAATTTAGGGCTCGAAGTGTTTAGTCGTCATTATGAAGTATATTAAACATTTATCACAAACTGGAAACTGATCATTTATTGCCAGTGAATCATACTGAAGTGGAATTCACAATCTATGCTGACCTGCCATCGGATTCAAACCTGCGCCCCACCATTTTTTGCGCTCAAACGTGTGTGTGAGAGAGAGCGAGCGTATGCACAAGATGGAGGTGATGAGTCATTGATCAGTAACATTCAGTTAAGTTCAGTTATCCCAAGTTGCCCCTTCGTGGGCCGGTTTCCGTTGGTAACGTAATATTTCTCAGTGCAACTGCATGCACCGACTATGCCGATGATTTTCACGTTTTAACCACCAATCTCGCACAATCAACATGTGAGGAATGCATAAACTTACAGTAAGTGCAAGTTGTACGTGTGAAACACAAGAATACGGTTTTTCCTGCCTATAATGTGGCTTTTCAGAGAAAATTACATATCTAGTGTATCAAGCTTGGACTAACACACTTGATTGTTCACAGGCACTAGGCACTCTTGATGGTTTTGGATTTGGGTTCCATACTTTTCTAGATCGTTGATTCCCCACGAGGTAGATGCATTCACATGCGATGGAAATACTCGTGATGACCGACAAAGAGCACTGGATAGCTGTTTCATCCTGCTTGGGACTCGTCAACAGTGCGTAGTTTTGTGTCCCTGTCAGGACTCGAACCGCAAACATTCGCTACGTGATTTGAAACCCTTACCCCGAGATCCATGGTTGACGGTTATCACCCTGTGCGAATGGCTTAATCAACTAAAATCACATTTCACCTGATTGCAGATCAAACGCTGTTTCAATATTTTGTTCAATAGAATTTGGACTAAAACATTTGAGGTGGCCTATTTCAAAATAGAAGCGTGTAATACACGGAGTACATGCGGATCAAGCACAGCGGACGAAATCGTACACGTAAGGGGCTGCCAAAGCTTCGGGATTCCTAGACGAAGATATGAGGCCACAGAAGTAACGTTTGTGGAATTACAAGATACGAAGGCGATTAAATATATATAAGGAACTGTGATTGGATGAAGCAGTATCGTGTAATCGTAGATCACGTTCTTCGTACTACAGGATTCCCGATTGAACTAGGTGAATTGTAATTCGTTCGGAATACCAGTTTCTTATTGGTCGTTCTGAATCCGTATCAACGCAGTCCGTGCGTTGCGACATCACAGACTTTCAAGATCTCGGTTTATCCAGAAGTCTTGGATAAGGACAAAGTACAAATAATTCTGTGTTTTTATACATCCCAAAGGAAGTCAGATTCATTATCTTACCAAATACCGTTTATGCGTTCGAGATGGTCTATAAACTATCATTGTTACGCGTATGTTATGGCAAACTGTATCCAACCAGCATGCTACCTTGCTTTCCCCAATTGAAGCTGAAGGCTTATGACACATGACTATATCAAGTATTGCAGAAATCTTATCAAAGAGAACTGATCGTTTGTAATCTATCTGCTGAGATATTTGCCCAAGAGAGAACCATATAAAATTACACAAAACATTGATCACTCAGTACGAATGGTTTTCCACTTTCATTGGTAATCTAATTGGTCTCTGCGAGAGCGAACACTAAGAGTTGAAACGTCATGGAAGATCCATTTTTCGGATATAAAGTTCAAGCACGAGTGAAATGCAGCTCGTATTTGATTCCCCATTGATACCTCTTCGTCAAGTGGGAATGCAAATATATGAAAAAGCCATGTATAGCGGTTTCAAGCCTATTCCATTGCGAGTAACATGTTGACTCTGCTCGCGGACAAAACCTTTTTTTATAAATCTTCACATTATCAAGACCGATCAGGAATGCTTTTCGCGGTAACCGTCCCGAAATGAACAGTGGGCGCCAGCGAGTTCAAGTACTGCCGTGTGTCAGCCAGGGTGACAAAAATCATATCATGCAGATCACGGCCTTTCCGCCCGGGGGATGGAAGACTGGAAGTGCTTCTGCAATCGCAGCTGACAAAAGACATCTTAAGGCGCATAGGCTGATGCAGTTGGTGCCGAATGTGTGACTGTTCGGTGATGCTATGTATCTAGTAGCTACACTCACCACCTGTGAAACACACGGATGGCCTACAATTATCATCCATGAAAAGCTAAATCAAGCCTTTGATGGGTCGTTATGTTCACGGAACCAATGTTATAACTATACACCCATAGTTTGTGAAGAACACAACTCACTGAACTGGGGCTTCTGACTGCACTTATATCAACAAGATTTACGGAGTCAACGGGTGAAATACAGATCAATAATCCTTAGGCCCGATAATACTGGGATCAGGTCGATAGCGAGGCTGACCAGTCACGCGACACCCGATTCGAGTGAGCTGCTGCCGGATTTAAGCTCTCATCACAATCAAGAAGCATTTTGTGGTCGCGTAAAGGTATAACACCCGATATTCGCGTACGCTCAAAACAGAATTTCAATGACACAATCAGTCGGGTTGGATATTTTACTTCCCGGATAGCGTGAGGCTAAATTTTCATTCCTTTTTTGGTAATATCCAACACATAAAATGAAAAAATATTTTCTGAAACACATGTGCCATTCTAAATGAAATCTATGCGTTTAAAATATGCAAGGCTGATAAATGCCACATCATTCAGTTAAAATATCTGTATAGTATATGGGTTTCTTCATTTTCTAACTATTCCAAAGAAGAAATGATGTATAATACACGAGCATCTGTAGTGGGCATGTTTCTTGATGAAATAATTCATTTTGAAAACTTGAAACTTTCTCCGTCCAGATTACGTTTTGTTTTCTTCGCTTTCGACAAAAAAGCAATAATTCTTTCAGATTGTGTTCTCACATGTCTCTGACTGACTGTCCTTTTTTAAACTGAAGTCACGCACGGTCTAGTAGATCAGACTAGACACGTGTTCGACCGCAACTCCCCGCATCATTCCTAAGCACCATTGTCTATGCGCACATCCTCCCGAAGTAACGAGTGTGACAGTGAAACGCGCGACAGCCTCACAGTCTCGGTTTTAACCGCCCCGATTGAACGGAGAGAAAATGGGTTTCAAGTCCGGAGGGAGGTGACTTGCGGGTTACATGATTGTATGTGGATAGCGCGAAGCATATGGGTAGTTTTTAACCAGTATAAGCCACCTTGGTTTCAGTTGAAGAATTTAATAATGAATCCCTAGATAGACGAATAACTGGGATCGAACCCGAGACCTGACAGGTAGAATCCAAGCAGATTACCCACTCGGACAACGGGCTCTCATAGAAAAAGTAGTTAGGTTGTGAAATTTTCTAACCGTTTCGTAGCCTTGGAGCAGGGTCTGTGGCCCACAACAAGCTCGCAAAGATGGATTGTGCTATATCGTGTAAATGGAAAATGAAAAACGGTCTGATCAGCTACCCGGTAGCCGAGTGGGTAGCATGCTTGCCTTCTGCTTGTGGGGTCCCCGGTTGGATTTCCAGTTGGATCGATGGGTTTGCACTGCTGATGAGACCCAACCAGGTCGAAACAGATATCCAGTGTTTCCTAGCTTTTCAGCTAATTGCATATTTATGCAACGAAGTCATCAAGGAGTTACAGTACTGCCAGCATAAACGTAATGTTTATCACAAGTTCGACCCCGATTTTTTATTTGTTCTCATCCGTAACCCCGCAGAGCTGATCCCATATACGAACTATATTGTGATCTGATTGCGTGAGTCTTTACGACTGGTGCATTTTGTAATTAATTAATTAATCCACGTGACTATCTGTTCACCCATTTGGAATGTTTATCTCAGCTGGGATGATAATGCTTTATTTCCTTTTTCTTTGTTTGAGCATACTCTTTTACAATCCATTTTCAGGAAACAGCCTGGAAACAGACTGTTTCAGGCGAAGTGTAATTCGGGAAGTTGGATTCGGAACACAGCTTATTCATATTGATCTGCGGTTGTCGAACCGTCTTCTGTTGAGCTCAGTACTTGCTTGCTGTTCATTCTAATTACTGGAGGTGGTTGGCAAAAGATTGGTTCTCGCTCGAACTAGCTTGATGAGTAACTTCCGTTGTTGTAATTAATCCATCCGACCAGTCAATGAAGGAACAAGGTCGTTCCTTAGTGTTGGTTGGATTCCTATCGGAGCACAAAGAAAGAACTTTGTGATGTTCTATTGCTGACTAGCATAGGATTGCAACAGTAATATATAGAGTCTAACGTAAGCCAACTTCCTTTCGGAATGGCAACACCTGTTCCAAACGGTTGAGATTGAGCGGCGTTGGAGTTTTAAGTCAAACCAATACATGCTTTCTGTATTCAGACGATAATTTTTAAGAATTTCACGTAGTGCTGGTGGTCCG